CGGTATTCCGCCTCGCCCGCGTGGTCCTGCTGCTTGTGCCGCGCAAAGTCTTCCTCTGTAGGAAAGTCGCAGTCGCAGAGCTGGCACACGAGCGGCCCCGTCATGACGGGGCGGTCGGAGAAGACGCGCAGCTGGTCCCCCTCCACCTCGCCGCCGGGAACGTAGCAGCTCTTTCCCGCGGGGGCGGCCGACGCCTTGCGCACCCGCTCCGCGCACCGCTGCGCGAATTCCGTGCGTCGCGCAGAGAGGCTGGACACAAGCTCCTTGTAGGCGGCAAGGCGCCGCAGGATTGCCTTGGTCCGGATGCCACTCTCGAGCATCAGCAGGTCCTGGTCGATCCTGTTCTGCGCGTCCTCAGCGAACCCTTTCCATGGGGTTTGGAAGGCCCTCCGCCTCCGCGATGCGAGTCTTTGTCGTGGCTTCGCTCTCCGGTTGCTTGAAGGCCTGGAGCTCGGCGCCCTGCTCCGGGGAGAACTGGTTGGCCTTCCGTGCTTTCCGGACTTTCTCTGCCAGCTGCCGCTCTGCGAGGCTACGCCCGGCATGCTCCTTCGGGTGGCGGCCGAGGTCTCGCACTTGCTGCATGAGCTCCTCGGTCTTGTAACGCTTTTGCTGCATGAGCTCCTCGGTCTTCTGCTTCCGCTTGAGCTCCTCGGTCTCCGTCTGCTGATCAGCACAGCCCAGGGCCCGCAGTTCATGCAAAATGTCTTTGGGGATGCGGTCGCGATGGTCCGAAAAACGTTTGGCCAACTTGTTTTCGTTCCGTTCTTGTTCGGACGTTCCTTTATTCCGCTTCGGTATCCGGCCGAACCGCTTCACGTGCTCGACGAGCGTTTGCAGAGGACCGCTCAACGCAGCACGCTGAGAAGCAGCGCTGTTCCCTGCCGCAGGCTGAGGAGCACCGCTGATCAATGCAGCAGGTTCAGGAGCACCGCCGCCAGACCGAAAACTATCAGCATGTCCTGGCATTAACGTGTGCAGTAGGCGCTGCGCAGTTCCTTTGAAAGGAAATCTTCGAAAGCAGGGCTGTAGCCAAGAAGGCTACGGGGACGATGATGATGATGAAGATGATGAGTCTTGGAAGTCTGGGAAGTGGAAGACCACGAAGTGGCGTACAGTTGGCTCCGGGCATCCAAAATGTGGCCCGGGAGTTGAGTTCTGGGAAGTGGAAAAGCACGAAGAGGCCTACAGTTGGCTCCGGGCTTTCAAAATGTGGCCCAGGAGTGGAGTTCTGGGAAGTCCAAGAGCACGAAGTGGCCTACAGTTGGCTCCGGGCATTCAAAATGTGGCCCGGGAATGGAGTCCTGGGAAGTGGAAGAGCACGAAGTGGCCTACAGTTGGCTCCGGGCATCCGAAATGTGGCCCGGGAGTGGAGTTCGGGGAAGTCCAAGAGCACGAAGTGGCCTACAGTTGGCTCCGAGCATCCAAAATGTGGCCCGGGAATGGAGTTCTGGGAAGTCGTAGAGCACGAAGTGGCCTACAATTGGCTTCGGGCATTCAAAATGTGGCCCGGGAATGGAGTTCTGGGAGGTCGAAGAGCACGAAGTGTGTGACTGTTTGCTTAAAACGAGCCCGGCCCTGAGCCCGGCCCTCGCTGTCCGGATGCCGCCCAGACCTCCCTTCTGAGTCATCAGATGCTCTCTTTTGACACCACTAGAAACCTATCAGTCTTCGCTGTTAGGTAAATTATCCCGGCAAAGCAACCTAACAGCGATGTGTAGGAGCATATCTGGAAGCATTCCCCTTAAGATTCGGATGGGAATCCAGTTGTAGAATTCTGCTGTTCTCGCAGTCGTAGTCGCATTCGCGATGACAGTCGCAGTGGCAACGGCAGTCGCATTCACAGCCTCAGCCTCAGCCTGCCTCAGCCTCAGCCTCAGCCTGCCTCAGCCTCAGCCTGCCTCAGCCTCAGCCTCAGCCTGCTTCAGCCTCAGCCTCAGTCTGCATTCAGCCTCGGCCTCAGCCTCAGCCTGCCTCAGCCTCAGCCTGCATCAGCCTCAGCCTCAGCCTCAGCCTGCCTCAGCATCAGCCTGCCTCAGCCTCAGCCTCAGCCTCAGCCTCAGTCTGCTTCAGCCTCAGCCTCAGTCTGCCTTTGGCCTCGGCGTCAGCCTCAGCCTGCCTCAGCCTCAGCTTGCCTCGGCCGCAGCATCAGCCTGCCTCAGCATTCAAAATGTGGCCCAGGAGTGGAATTCTGGGAACTAGAAGAACACGAAGTGGCCTACAGTTAGCTCCGGGCATTCAAAATCATGCCCAGGAATGAAGTTCAGGGAACTCGAAGAGCACGAAGTGGCCTACAGTTGGCTCCGGGCATTCAAAATGTGGCCCGGGAATGGAATTCTGGGAACCAGAAGAACACGAAGTGGCCTACAGTTGGCTCCGGGTATCCAAAATGTGGCCCGGGAATTGAGTTTTGGGAACTCGAAGAGCACGAAGTGGCCTACAGTTGGTTCGGGGCATCCAAAATGCGGCCCGGGAATGGAGTTCTGGGAGGTCGAAGAGCACGAAGTGTATGATTGCTGGCTCCGGTTATTCAAAATGTGGCCCGGGAATGGAGTTTTGGGAGGTCGAAGAGCACGAAGTGTGTGACTGTTTGCTTAAAACGAGCCCGGCTCTGTTCCCGGCTCTCCTCCCCGGCGCCCGCCCAGACCCCCCTGAGGAGTGATGATGCTCTCTTTTGAGCCTACTAGAAACCTATCAGCAAACGCTGTTAGGTAAAAAACACAGACACAATTACTTGTCGATTCCCAAGTCCGGCTCCCGCCCAGACCCCCCTGGGGAGTCATCAGATGCTTTCTTTTGACCCCATTAGAAACTTATCAGTCTTCGCTGTTAGGTAAAACGCACAGACACAATTATTCGTCGATTCCCAAGAAAATATGGGAAAATATGGGAAGTGGGGGGAAGACACAAACCCAGAACATAGGGGAAAATATGGGGGATATTTTTATTTGTGTCCATTTACTTGTGTGTCCCAGTTCCCCTTCAATGGTGTCTGACGCCCCTGTTGTGGTGCGGAAGACACATCTTTATCAACGGCATCGCGGGCCGGTCCTCTGGGCCGCAACCCTCTGTGGATACCGGGCGCTTTGTCTCGAATGCCCCACGCAGAGTCTACAGTCAACCCGCATAGTAAGGATGAGCGACTTTCAAGGGCTACCCCTGCATCCCTCCCCTTCGGCCCATCCGTGGCCGCTTTCGCTGGCCGCGCCCCGCCTGCCAAGTGCCGATACGGCCTTCCCATGCCCTTGCATCCTTTGCTGTACGTCCTTCGTATACAGGCTGACTGTATCCACGGGGTCGCGCCCCGGAATCCAGACCACGAGGGCGTGGACACGGATGCGACCGCCGCTCGCGAAGGTCCCGGTCGGACGACAGAGGTGGGGGGGACAGGCGGGGTGTAGGGATACGAGATCTGCCGTATGCAGCTGGTTTTGGCCCCGCTGCCGTGCGCCCTTCCTCGATACAATGGCGCCTCCGCCTCCTCCTCCGCAGCCTCCTCCTGCTGTTCCTCCTCCTCCTCCTCGTTTCGCGTTGCCCAGACCTTACGTGTCCGCGTGTGGCGTTTTCAATGTGAGGCTAAAAGGGAGAAGGTAGACGACTTGGCGCAAAGAGTACCTGGCGGGCGCCGCAGCTGAGGCGGTAAGAAGAGGCAACAAACATAATAGGTAGAATAGTGGGCGCCCGCCAGGTAAAGCAGCATGTACGTTTTAAAGTTAGGCCCCGACCATAAGTGAGCATAAGTGATAAAGTAACTGACCCTCAGCGGTTTTGGTACATGCTGCAAACAGTGCAAAGGTGGTTGTGCGAAAGAGTAACGCATGCTGGCTACGTGAGTGAAGGAAGTCCCGTCTATCCCCGACCTCAATATATGACCCCACCAATCCTCATCCCTTTGTCATCGTATGTGCCGTCTTGGCAGGCTGCAGCTATGAGAAAAAACTGGCTGTAGCAGTCTTTGGGTTGCTTCCCAGGGTTTTGGACAACCCCAAACCGTGCTAACATAGCAGTTCGTGGGATGCAGCCCATGCTGTATGGTCAGAGGAGATGTGCAGGATACGCCATTGTGGGCTCGTGCTGTGCCCTGGCCCCTCTCTGGCAGCAGTAGACCCGGTCCTCTGGCCAGCAGCAGGCCCGCTCGTCGGCTCCCAAGGAAGAAGGGGCCACCGTCACCGTATGTATGTCAAGAGTATGAGGGGTACACCCTGCGAAATGCTTAAGAAATCATGGGTTAAGAAATTCAGAGTCTCAGAACTTGAATAAAAACCCAAAATTCCCATTCGAATCTTAGGATTTACATTGAAACATTAAGAATAATCGAGACCCTGGCCGAAAAAATATTTTTTCTTAAACATCGCCTAAGGTGTAGGCATGTGATGACGAGGTGAGACAGTAGGTCGGGTATGCTGCAAAGGCTGTCCTGCGCAGGCTGACCTGTAGATCCTAGGCGGAGAAGCAGTTTGAGCCACGCGTAGCTTACCACGAATGTCAGCTGACTGGGGTAAGGTGTAGCCTCTGCGGATACAGTCTTGGAGAGTGTGATGGATACAACGTTGCATGGAGAAGAAACGAGCCTGAGCTGCGGCAGTACAGTCGGGGCCCTGAAGAAGGAACCCTTTTGGTTGGGGAGGGGCTCCGCGTTCCTTAAGTGTTTCACAGCTTGCCTCAGGTTTTCCTTATGTTTTCGATAGGAGAATCGAAGTTCAACTTATGGAGAACAGGGGCCTCGTTCCTTATTTAGGGTTCCTTAGGTTCACGCCCCGACTGTATCAAGTGGTCCTCCTCCTCCTCCTCCTCTTCAAAGCATGGGGAAGAGACGAGCCTGAGCTGCGGCAGTATCAAGTGGTCCTCCTCCTCCTCCTCCTCCCCCTCCTCCTCCTCCTCCTCCTCCTCCTCCTCCTCCTCCTCCTCCTCCTCCTCCTCCTCCTCCTCAAAAGAGGGCGGCTGGGCGAGGCGGGAGCCCCCGCGCGTGCTCCCGCCGTGGGCGTGCGAGCCCCGCGCCCCAGGGCGTCGTGTCGCAGCTGGAGGCGGGCCGGACCCCCGGCGCGGGCCGCCGCTCTTCGACGCTCACCTCCGATCTTTGTGGGCCCCGGAAACTCGGGCCGGGCGAAAGGGGGGGATTGGGATTTGGACGTGTGCATTTTTCCTTCGGCGAGGACCATCGAGGAGCATCCTTGATCATTTGGCGAAAAAACCGCGCACGAAACCGAAAGAAGCACAGAGAATGGACGTCCGAGCGATGGCGAGTGCCCGCGCCGGCCCAGACGCGCCCCAGACGGGCCGCGTGGCAGGCGCGCCCCGCGTCGGCAGCTGTCGAGCAGTGGCGAAGGTCAATCGGGTCGGGCGAAAGGGGGGGATTGGGAAAAGGGGGGGTTACGAAATCTGCTGCATGCAGCTGGTTTCGGCCTCGCCGAGGGGCCCATTCCTCGATGCATGGGCGCATCCCGGCGCCGGGAGGCGCCGGGAAAATCAGCTACGTGAGCTGATTCTCAAACCCCCCCTTTGCTATCCCCCCCTTTCGCCCGACCCGAGAAACGGCAGGGCCGTTTTTTCACCGTTTCCCCAAAAATGTCCCTTGAAAAGGGAAACGGCAAAAAAAAAACGGCGACCGGAAACGGCAACAAAAACGGCTCCAGGATTGGAACCGGAGCCCGAACCGGTCAAAAAACGGCGACGGAACCGGCAAAACAACGGCGTCGGAACCAGCAAAAAAACGGCAAAACGGAACCGGTAAAAAAACGGCCTTGTCGTTTCCAGGGCCCACTAAGCCTCCGATCGGGGGTGGACAGACTTCCTACCCTGACGCGTCGATTGAGGAATTGGCCGTTTTCGGTTCGCGAGAGGGCGTCGCGGCCGTCATTTTTGCGGGTCCGGGTCCGTCAGGTTCGGTCCCAGGCCGTTGTCACGAAGGGGGAGGTCTACTAAAGGGAGGTTTGTCCACTGCCGATCCGAGGCGCCCGAAATCCAAGCCTCCGACGCTGTGCTTTTCTTGGCGGCGTGGGCCCGCGGAGGGTTTGGACCACTTCTCTTATGACGTTCCAACCTGCTTCAGCCTTGACCACCAGGACAAATTTCGAGCACCAGGAAGCTTGGCATCGCTCGGACGTGTGCATGTTTTCTCGGCGAGGACCATCGAGGAGCATCTTTGATCATTTAGCGAAAAATGCACGCACGAAATCGAAAAATGCACGGGGAATGGACGTCCGAGCGATGGCGAGGGAAAGCACCGAAACTGGAGGGGGGGTGCACGCGTCGGGCCCTGGGAGGCGACACGCGTTCGTCACGGTTTCGGTACCCTTCTGGATGCTCGAAATTATTTCCGGATAACACTTCGCTAGGATAAGATTGTCATCCTCAGTCATAGTTCCACGGCCCCAGGGCCTGGTAGGGCTCCGCCAGAGGCCGAACGATTGAGAACGAGCGAACAACAACAGGAAGCGCGCGCCGTGCTTCTTTCACGACGCGAGGAGGTCTGGGAGACGTTTCGCCACATCTCGGCGGCGAGCGAGGGGGGGGGGAAGTGAGAAGAAGAAGGCCTTCTCAGAAGACGGCGGGACCTCTGAGAGGCCCTCGCTCCTCCCGGGAAGTTCTTCGTGCCTCCGGGGGAAGCTGGGGATCCTTCTCAGGAGGCCCGGGGACCTCCGAGCCGTCTGAGAAGGTCACCACCCACCAAACCACCCCAACCCAACCCGAAGGCCCAAATTTATCCTCGATTTCCAGTGAGGGGGGGTCGGGGAACGTTGAAAAAACACATGGTATCCGTACCCCCCCCAACCCGAAATTCGGGTCAAATTCGGGTCTTCGGGTTGGGTTGGGGTGGTCTTCCTCCTTCTCTCAGGGGATCGCAAGCACGGGACATCGCGGATTTCCACTGCTGAGCGAGGCGGCACCGGCCGCATTTTGGGGAGGGCACCTCCCCCGATCCATGGAATTGGCGACCGCGCGCCAAATCCATGGATCGCTAATCCATGTCTGCGAGCCCCCGATTCTCGTTTCCCCCCTCACTTGCCGCTGAACATCGAACCAATCGAGAGGGACCCCGGCAGGGCGCCGCCCCGCCGACAGCCTCCCGCACATCGGGCAGCGGCAAGGGGGTCAGCTTTGAGGAGGAGGAGGAGGAGGAGGAGGAGGAGGAGGAGGAGGGTGGAGGGGGAGGAGGAGGAGGGAGGAGGAGGACGGGGGTCACGCGCAGAGGGGGGAGGGGGAGGGGGGAGGGGCTCTCAGAAGCGCCCCTGCTTCTCAGAAGGCGCGGGCCTCGTGCGTGGATGTGAGGTCGGCGCCTTGTGAGAAGCAGCCTACTTCTATGGAGCCTTCCCCCCTCCTCCTGCCCCCCATATGCGCGCCGCCGAGTTGGGGGGAAACCACTTCCTCCTGAGGATCGAGTTCCTCCTGAGGATCGAGGTTGCCAGATCCAAGTTCCAGGAGCTTCGCGGACGTTTGAGGTAGTTCTGGAGGGTTTTGGCGTGCTCTTGGGGCACGCTAGGAGAAGGAGGAGGAGGCGGAGCAGGAGGAGGAGGAGGAGGCGGAGGAGGAGGAGGAGGAGGAGGCGGAGGCGGAGGAGGAGGAGGAGGAGGAGGCGGAGGAGGACGAGAAGGCGGGGGAGGAGGAGGAGAGCGAGGAGGAGGAGGAGGAGGCGGAGGAGGAGGAGGAGGCGGAGGAGAAAGAGGCGGAGGAGAAAGAGGCGGAGGAGGACGAGAAGGAGGCGGAGGAGGAGGAGGAGGAGGAGGAGAGGCCGGGGGATTGTGGAGACCCTCGTCGTTTTTATACGTTTTTTTTTTATTGATTGAAACGCTTTTTCGCCCTTACATTTTGATTATCATTTGTAATGTTTCTTTTCGCCGTGATCCCATCATACTATCTTTTATGTTAGTGAGGGGGCCGTCTACAGGAAGGGGGGGCCACCCCAAAACGCTAACAGCCAGGCCGGGTGGCACAACTTAAATGTAATATTCAAAATTACGTTTTTGTCCGAAGGCATGGTTTGGAAAATCCAGAATTATTGTTTGTTGTTGATTTTGCCCTGAAGGACTGTGTGTGCTTGAATTCAGAAATCGTGATTTTATTGTGGGAAGGCTTCGCCTCTTTCGCCCTTCTGGAAGTGTTGTTGCACGATGAACGCCACGTGCGAAACATGATTGTGGGGAGTTCCGTGTGTAGTTTCATTCGCGGTTGATCGCGTAGTTGGTTTCGTTACTGTTCGTATCCATCACGGTCCACCCAGCAATAGTACCCAGGCGAAATGTCTTGATCAGGGAAGTGCGGGAACATTCCGTGTAACGAAGAGAAATTGATGGGGAAGCCGTCAAACTGAATTTCGTGGGTCAGCCTGGGCACGCCCTGGAGTGAATGCACATTCGCGGCCCTTGCCGAAACAGGCAGGGCGCAGAAGAATGATGAGGGGGCGGGGGAGGAGGAGGTGGGGGAGGAACACGAGGAGGACGAGGACTAAAAGGAAGAAGGGAGGAGCGACGGGAGTAGCAGGAGGGGGGCGAGCAAAAGTATGATGACATTGACTGCGCAAGCTTTGGGGGGGAGGAGGAGGAAGAGGAGGAGGAGGAGGAGAAGGAGGAAGGGGGATGAGGAGGAGGAGGAAAGGAGGAGGACGAGGAGGAGGACGAGGAGGAGGAGGAGGATTGGGCGAGGAAGAGGAGAAGGAGGAGGAGGAGGAGGAGGAGGAGGACGAGCGTACAACGCGCACGCGCGCGTGCGCGCGAGGTGTGATTTCTGCGTTGTTCTCAGCGGTCTGGCAACGAAGGGGCCTGGAAACGAAGGGGATCTTGGGCGGTGACCGAATGGGTGTTCCAGGTAGCGCGGGGCTGCAGCGCGCCAGCCAAGTGGCTCAGCGCGCAGCGCGCCCGCGCGCGCGCGCCGGCGCGAGCTGTGAATTCTGTATCATTTATAATAGAAGGGCCGCAACGTTGGCATGGGAGCTCAAGTGGTCCCCTAGCGGAGACCGATTGGATTTCCGATGTACCATGGGTTTGTAGCGCGTCGGTGAAGCGGCTCAGCGCGCAACGCGCCCACGCGCGCGCGCGGGCGCGAGCTGTGAATTCTGCGTTATCCACAGAAGAAGGGCAGTCGCGCTGTCCTGGAAACTAAAGTGGCCCCCCAGCGGTGACCGACTGGATTGTCAAATTGACATGGGGATGTAGCATGTCGGCCAAGTGGCTCAGCGCACAAGTCGCCCGCGCGCGCGGGAGCGAGCCGCCACTCTGCGTTATCCAGAACAGAAGGGCCGCCATGGTGGCTCGGGAGTTCAAGCAGCCCCTTAGTGGTGGCTTAATTCTTTTTCCAATTTAACATGGGCTTCTAGCATGTCGGCCAAGTGTCTCAGCGCACAGCGCGCCCACGCGCGCGCGCGAGCTTTGAGTTCTACCCGCAATAGCAGGGCCGCCATGCTGGCCTGGGAAATCAAGCGGCCCATTAGCGGTGACCGATTGAATATCCGAGATAGCTCGAGTTTGTAGCGTTTTGGTTAAATGGTTCAGCGTACAACGGGCCCACGCGCGCGCGCGCGCCCGCTTGCGCTCGCGCGCGCGAGCTGTGAATTCTGTATCACCAACAATAGAATGGCCGCCATGTTTGCTTAGAAACTTAAGTGGCCCCTTAGCAGTAACCGACGGACTTCCAAGTTAGCAAAAGGTCGTAGCATGCCGGTTAAGTTGTGCAGCGCACAGAGCGCCCGCGCCTGTGCGCGCAGGCGCGAGCTGTGAACCCTGTATTCTCAGCAATGCAAATGCCGCCACGTTGGCCTGAGAACTCAAGTGGCCCCTTAGCGGTGGCCGATGGTATTTTCCATGTTTAACATGGGTTTGTAACTGGTCGGCCAAGTTGCCCAGCGTACAAGGCGCCTCGCGCGCGCGCCCGCGCGCGCGAGTAAATTTTCGTGCGACCCGCAGTAGAAGGGCCGCCATGTTGGCCTGCACACTCAAGTAGCCCCTTTGCGGTGGCTTCCATGTCAGCCAAGTGGCTCAGCGCGCAACGCGCCCGCGCGCGCGCCGTGTTGGCTTGGAACCCCGGATTGATT